GGATATCGAACGACTGAGAGAGATTGTTGTGGACCAGGACTTGTGCGGTGGTGGACCGATAGTAGGCCCTAATCATGGCAATGAGTTTGGTCGGCACTCCATCTAGTTCCATTATTCGCCACAGGGACTCACGATGGATGGAATCGAATTCAGCAGCGAAGTCGACAGAGCAGACGACCGTTGGTTGCTGGTAGCTATGGCGGAATTCTAGAATGCGCCTCAGCGTAAATATGTACGGAAACGGTGGTCGTAGGACTTTTACGGATGGGGAATTACACTTTATTAACTGCTATATGCACTTTTAGTTTATTGTTTTTAGAAACGTTGCTGATTTATATCTGTAGATCTTCTTAATCTGTATCATCGTTTAACGTATTGCGGAAAAAAATGATTATCACAGTGCAGGTCTCTCGAAATTCCTGAAAAAAGGCAGAAATTTTGGTCAGGAGGTCGTCTACTTCAAATTACCTGAGGTCCAACTTATCGTTCTGGAGTTAGGTTAGTATAGTCCGCGCTGCGAAGCGTCGTGCACACCTGCAATTTACATGCGAAACAACTTACAGCCGCCGTGGAAAACAAATACAACTAACCTTTTTTACTTCTACAAATTTCCTTCACTGCCTGTTTCATTTCCCCACCCCTATATACCCGTATAACCACCGTTTACGTCGGACAAAATGCTGTGACTAGGGGTATATGAGGTGCATTAATTAAACGACCTTTGCCAACATAAATGACGTAATTGCGACTTCCAGATGGGTTCCTCCAACAGTCATTTGACGCTGTATCAAACGAATTGCTGCAGTGAATTTCAGTCTATTCGCGAATTTCTATTTGGAGCTATCTGCCTGCCCATACGTAAAGCAGAATTTATGTTAACAAGGCCTTAATTCCCACTGAGTCATAGCACAGAAAGGCGACTGCATCGAGCTGCCATGCCGTTGCCATGAGAGCGCGCACATTGGCTATCTGTCGTCAGATCTGATTGGTTCATGTCGCCGGCGCTCTCGCATCAAGCGGACCAATAAGTGCGCAAAGCCTTTCTGTGTGCGAACGACTTGCGCTACTTGTGCATATAGCTCTCCGCGTCGATTGACTTCCCTTCTGCTTGTTCTCGCGTGCTGGCTTTAGGAACAACGGTTTGGCCAGCGCAAAGATCGTGGTAATTACAAGGCTGCGGGTCATGACAGGCTGGATTGCTGACTATACAGAATATGCTAGAAACTTCTGCTAAATAGCCAGAGTGAGGATGAGATCGAAAATGGGACCTACCTAGAGGGCTCCCAGCCTTCGCTCGAACTTGCCCAAACCTCAAACATCGGCATCGGATCCGTCTTTACAACAGACTGCAAATATATGTGGCTTTCGGCAAGGTGAGCCTTCTCTCTATTCAAACGTGACAGAGAAGTGGCCGTGCATCCAGACTGTTTGAATCCTCCGGAATTGTTAGAATATGTACTTAATTCCGACTGCGTCTTCCCCCGATATTTGCCCGAACAAACTGTTTGTCGGAATACAGCGCGCCAAATGCACCCTTCTGCAACTGGAACTGGGTTCTCCGCTGCGTTCCCCCAACTACGAAACCATACTGGAGGTCACCTCACCTGCGTCTAGCTGGAGACAGTGTCGAATTGGCCAGCTGGTGTTTTGGGTAGATGTGGTAAAACTGCCCTCGATCGCGTATCTGCTCGGCAGTTTTCTGTTTACAGATCCAACATGCCGACGGACTCCCATTTGCTTGGCTGTTGGTTGATAACCTTCAATTCAAAGCCCGCTTTCTTGATGCTGTGAATCTTCATGATGCAGTCAACGGGGTCAGCCACGATGTATGCTCTCACCAGTTGTGAATGTAGCCGCGGAGTTTTTGCGATTTGGCAGTCGGAGCCGAGATATTTCGCCAATCAGAAAACCCCCAACTTCTTCTTTTCCAAAGGTAATAGGCAGTGCCCTTGAAAACCCCATTGTTTACCTGTTCGCGTTTCATAAACACACAGTCACATAAAATTGTCACTTTTAAAATAGTATTGACAATAGAACTGAATATACGATTTCTAGGAAGCAGTTCAGAAGGAGAAGATAAGGGGCCTCATCTGCGTATGTCTCAGACTTTTCTACGATTAC